AAGATGTTTTATAAGCAGCCACCCCAGCTGTTCTGATGGTCACTGTCCCCCCGCCCTTTGAGTGAACTGTCTGAGTTCCCTCTAGGAAGCCAGCCTCTCCTCGGCACCAGACCCGTCCCATCACCCCTACACTCGGCTTTCCCCACAGCAGTCCTCCCCTCTTTGTCTCAAGCATCAGATTTTCCCTTTCTTCTAGTAATTTACGCCAGCGATAAACCTGCTGTGGTTTCATTTTTGTTAGCTGCCGTTGAATTGGCTGTGCGTCATGGCGCTCCATGCACAGCTGAACAAACACTACCCATCCTGTGCCATTGTGACAGTCCGTGTGCCCGACTCCACTGTTAGGGATGCTATGTACTTCAAGTGGCTTCCATCCCAAGGGCTTCCCTTCCAATACTATATAGGCCAATACTCCACTGTGATCCTTAAGAGTTTCCATTGACTAATCTTCGGGTCCTTCTTCCGAGTCTGTCGTAGTCTGGAAGCTCCGCTGAATCCTGTCCACCATGGGTGGCCTTGCTGGTATTTGAAATACCAATGGTATAGCTTCCAGCCTCGCAGCAACATTCCAGGCCCCACAGTGCAACAGACACACTGACAGGCGAGTGGGGGACATTTTTCTACCTTCTTTTTCTTTCTTTTTTTAAAGGCTAGACTTTGGTGATATGGTGGTATTAAAGAGGTAGAGTCCTGCCTCTGTAAGATACTGGTGCCCCTCATTGTAATAAAGTGGACCTGGCTTGGCTGCTCTGGGAAGCTAAGGGGCCTCCCAGGCCAGCTGAGAACAGGCACGTCCCTGCAGCCGCCCATCACGGCCCTGCAGCCGCCCATCACGGCCCGCAGTTGTGCTGTGAGTTTCCTTCCTTCAGTTGAAACGTCTGGGACTCCAGACCTCCTTCCATTATCCAAGAACAGATGCCAGCCCGCTGGTCTCTGTGTCCAAGCCCGTCTCCCAGACTGTACTTACATTCCGTCACCAGGGGCCCCAGGGCAGTAAGAGGGGGCCAGGTAGGCTGGGCAGGCCGGGGAGGGTGGAGGCTCCCAAGAGGGCAGGGCTGGGGGCTGGAACTTTCTGGAAGGTCTCTTTGTGGCACAAATTGTTTGCAATTGACAACGAACCAAAAAGTTGGTGGTTTGAACCGTCTTAGTGGCTCTGTGGAAGAAGGGCCTCCGTGAAGATTACAGCCAAGACAACACTCAGGAGGTCAGTTCTACCTATAACACAAAGGGTCCCCCTGAGCTGGAGCTGATTGTTGGCGACAGATTTCGTTTTGGTTTGCTCGAACCCTTCTGGAAAA